TAAAAATGATAGGATGATAATAATTTTGAGGATAATGATATCAAGAATGATAACAGTACTAATATTAATAACACTAATGATAATGATGGTGAAAGTAATAAAATGATGATAGCATGATAATGTGATGGTGAAAGTAATAAAATGATGATAGCATAACGATAGCAAAATTAAACAGGCTCATGACATGTAGGAGAAATTAATTCGTCACGAGGTTGACCTTTCTGTATCCGCTTTCTCCCAGCGAAGCGTACCTTGGCGGCGTCTCCTTCGCTGCTGGCGGTTCTACCCGAGCGTCGTCGCCGAAATGGCCAGCTCCTGGGTTTCGAACCTCACTACTACCGAAGGAGCCATATTCCTCAAGACGCAGGTGAGTCGACTTGAAATTGTGTTAATTTTTGGGGGGAAATTCTGTGCTAAAAGATATAGATGTAGCCCTACTGAAAACGAAAGATATGTAAAAAAGTGAAACGGTATTTAATGTAATTTTATGCTTGCGTCGAGAATCGCTTAGCAGTGGAACAAACAGTAAAGATATCATAGGAATACTTGGCTCAGATAAAGCGTCCGAGGACAGTTTCGTCTAATCTACTGGTTAATCTGTAATTGGCTTTAGACCCGGGATAAACCAAAACGTTTTAGAATTTCGTTATAATCAGAACGTACCTCTTTGATAACGCATAAAGATAAGAACCAGGAATCACAGAATGCGTTGGAAAAAGAGAGAAAATTCAGATAAAAGAAAATACTTTTCAGGGCCAAGGCAGGGGCGCGCCTTCACAAGTATCCCGAGTACACCTGGATAAGCACGACTGGATCCGGCATCCGGGAGGGGGATGGGGGAGGGAGCCTAGGGGAGGGGGGAGGAGCAGAGAAGGGGAGCAAGGAAGGAGGAAAGGGATAAGGGGGAGAAAAAGAAGGGGGAAGTGTAGAATGGGAGAGGGAAATGAAGGGAAAAGAGAAAGGGGGGCGAGAGAAGGGCCAGGGGGCGGGGAAGAGGGTGGTGAAGGCACGGTCTCTCGCAACCTTGGGCGCGTCCATGGGGCGTCGACCCGAGGACGGAGAGGTAATAGCCGTAGAGAGGACGCTGGGAGCAAGTTCTGGACTTGAATGGGGATTTGCAGACTAGATTGCGCTGGTCCTGCAAGGCGAGTTGGGAGCGTTATTCATTTTACCAAATTTGGATATTTCGAGTATCAAAAATTTGCGTTTCAAACTCATTGGTAGTTCATCCTGTAATTGGTTCTTGATATATATATATATATATATATATATAATATATATATATATATATATATATATATGTATGAATGTGTATATATATGTATATATACACACACAGACACACACATATATACTATATATATATATATACATACATACATACATACACACACACACACACACACACACACACACACACACACACACACACACACACACATACATATATATATATATAATATATATATATATATATATATATATATATATATATAGTGTGTGTGTGTATGAGAGAGAGAGAGAGAGAGAGAGAGAGAGAGAGAGAGAGAGAGAGAGAGAGAGAGAGAGAGAGAGAGAGAGAGAGAGAGAGAGAGAGAGAGAGGAAGAGAGAAAGAGAGAGAGAGAGAGAGAGAGAGAGAGAGAGAAGAGAGAGAGATAGATAGATATAGATAGATAGATGAGAGAGAGAGAGAGAGAGAGAGAGAGAGAGAGAGAGAGAGAGAGAGAGAGAGAGAGAGAGAGAGAGAGAGAGAGAGAGAGAGAGAGAGAGAGAGAGAGAGAGAGAGAGAGAGAGAGAAGAGAGAGAGAGAGAAGACAAGAGCAGAAAAATACAGATAGATGGACATATATAATATATATATATATATATATATATATATATATATATATATATATATATATATAGAGAGAGAGAGAGAGAGAGAGAGAGAGAGAGAGAGAGAAGAGAGGTAGCAGGGAAAGAGAGAGAAAAAAAAAGAGGGGAGAGAGAAACACATATGTTTGTATCTCTATACTTATATTCATTTGTTTATGTATCTGTCTGTGTAGTTACCTGTCTGTCTTGCTACATATCTCTCTACATGAATGTGTACATATGTAAATATGTGTGTAACAGCAGCAAATGAAAGGGACAGCTGTCTGAAGCTGCACGAAGCGGGAGAGAGGGAGAGCGAGCGAAGGAAGGGAAAGGAATGACAAAAAAGGCAGTGCAGTTCCGTCATCGCGCCGGCGGCGAACGCCGTCCCGGAAACACCTGCAATTGCAGCCATGACGTGCAGGACGTACGTGGGAGCCGTAGGCCTAAGGGGTTTTGTTGCAGCTGATATGATTAATAATTATACAGACACAAAGGCGCGAGCACGCAGACACAAACGCAGAGACACGCGCCGCGCGCATTAATCGAACCGTGCATCCGCACACGCACTCCTTCGCATCGGGCGAGTAAGGCCCTGCAATGCCCGTCAGCCCGTACACCGGATGCTTCTCAAATGTGAAATGCGGAGAACCCCATAATTACTGCAATCCTTGTAAAAAAACCCACTAAACTACTGCCTGGAACTGCACTAGATACAAGCCTCATGAGCTTCCTAGGACGATGAAGTTGCGAGGAAACGACACTGCTGACCAAGGTGATATTTAAAGAGGAAGAAGAGGAGATATATAGTGCCTGTATACATACATACATATATATGTGTGTGTGTGTGTTTTATGTATATATATGTATATGTATATATAATATTATTTATGTATATATGAATATATATCATATATAAGTTTATATATTATATATATATATATATATATATATATATATATATATATATATATATAATATATATATAGAACATATCTGTGTGTGTGTAAATATATATATATATATATATATATATATATATATATATAATATATATATATTATATATATATATATATATATATATATATATATATAATATAGACACATATCTGTGTGTGTGTAATATATATTATATATATATATATATATATATATATATATATATATATATATAGAGAGAAGAGAGAGAGAGAGAGAGAGAGAGAGAGAGAGAGAGAGAGAGAGAGAGAGAGAGAGAGAGAGAGAGAGAGAGAGAGAGAGAGAGGAGAGAGAGATAGAAATAGATACAAATAATAATAATTATTACTATTGTAATCATCATATTATTGTTATTATCTTTACCATTACTACCTCAGCTAAGGATATTATGATTTTGGTAGCGATGGTTAATTAGTTAGATTGTTTGTTCGCTGGTTTGAAGATGAATTGAAAAAGTTATGAACAGATTTATGATATTTTTTTTTACCAGAGGTGCGTCTTAGCCTAACTTAGATGCCGTTACTTTTTGTGAAGATCATGATCCAGACAGGATTTTATTTTTATTTAATTATCACATTAGTTACCCCTATTGATTTATCAGTGGGGTAACTATTATTACCATCATGAACTTTATTACCGCCGCCAAGGAGGTTAAGTTTACGGACGTCACCAGTGCATTTGAGAAAGAGGTTATTTTAATGTCTTTCTTCAAGTGTGAATATTCTTATCGCATGTGACCTTAATGATTTGGCGGAGGTATGCGCTCTCGAGTGCTTCTAGTTATCATTAGTGTCATCATTTAATTCCAGACAGAGACAGAAATAACAATAACTATTATCATTATAATTATCATTATCACTATTATCATTGTTATCATTATTATTGTTATTATCATTATTATTTTGTTGTTGTAATTATTATTATTATTTTGTTATTATTATTATTATTATTAATATAATCATTATTAGTAATATTATTCTTATTATTGTCGTTGTTATTGTTATAGCAATACCAAAACATAACCAAAGAGGTTATGTTTTGGTAGCGTTGGTTAGTTGGTTAGAAGAATAACTCAAAAACTGATGATTTTTTTTTTTTTTTTTTTTTTTTTTTTTTTTTTTTTTTTTTTTTTTTTTTTTTTTTACCAGAGGTGTGTCTTAGCCCAGCTTAGATGCCATTAAATTTTGGTGATCCAGATTATGATCCGGATTCTGCGCAGATTAACTCAAAAAACTTATGCACTGGTCCGGATCCAGGACTTTTTTTAAGGGATTCATTAGCATTGCGAGATAAGGGAACACGGGCGTCACCAGTGTCCCTGAGAGAGAGGTGATTTTAATGTAATTCTTCAAGTGTGATTATTTTTATTGCATCAGTGACCCTGTTGCCTTGGCGGAGCTATGAGCTCTTTGGGTGCTTATGGTTATTATTTTCATAATTATTGTTATTATTATTATTATTATTGTTTTCATTATTATCATTTTATTGTTACTATTGTTATTATTATCATTGCTTTTATCATTATTTCTATTATTATTATTACTACTACTATTATTGTTATTATTAGTATTATTATCATTGTCATTGTTATTATCATTACTATTGTCATTATTATCATTATCTTTATTGTTGTTATTACTATTCTCATTATTATTATTATTTTATTATTACTATTCTCATTATTATTATTATTACTATCATTATTGCTATCATTTTTATTATTAGTATTAGTATTAGCATTTTTTAATAACCATTACAATTAGTTTCATTACCAGCACTAGCTTTATTATTATTAAAATTATTATAATTGATGTGGTTACAATTATAACAATCACTATCAACATTATAGTAAGCACTGTCGCTGGTTTTCATATTAATGTCACGCATATTATCATATTATTAGTGATATAGCAATGCCAACAATAAAAGTATAAGTAACATCAGTGACAGCAACACATAAGCACACCTTCCTCCTTCCTCCTCCCAGATCGGGCTGGACCTTCGGCAGGTGGGCTGGGTTCTCTCGGCGGGTCAAGGGAGCTCCTGCGCCGCGACCTTCGCCTTCGGGAGGGTGTCTGACGTGCTTGTAAGGCGCCGAGTCCTCACCAAGCTCAACACCAGGAGGCTCATGCACAGTCTGGGTGAGTTCCGGCGAACTGCGAGGT